GTAGCTAAATGGATAACGTGGTGGTGTTTGAAGCGAACGGTACTGGGTTCGAGTCCAAAAGTGAACATCAACTCTAAGACGCAGGTATATCCATCCATCTTCACTTATAATGCTTATGAGGCAATACGAACAAAATGCACATATACCAATAAGAGATTGATCAATTGTAGTCCCAAACATCAATAAGAAGATTCAAACAAACAATATAAAATGAAAAAAAACGAACATCAATTTTTGGGCCTAATCTTCATGTAAAGTTGATCGAAAAGAATAATCAATTAAGAGTGTTATTTCATTTTGATTCTTATGCTAAGTAATAACAAAAAACCAACTGTATATTAATCAATTCAAAACTTTCTGTAATTTATTTCATTTCTAACATTCTATTCAATTACCAAAATTAATATATTTTTTTTACTGTATTTAACTCATTGAGGAACTTTTATTAGTTTTAATTTTCAGTCAATTAATTTGTATTTCCACAGATTGAAATCATGAGTCAGTTGAAGCTAGACCACCACTGAAAACCTGGGAGCACTGGACGACCTTTTCGCCCTAGTGTGGGACTCCTCAGCAGTGCTCGCCCACGATCCCGCACCGCGCGGGGCTCGAACCCAGGACCTACTGGCTTCGCGCGCGAGCACTTAACCATTAGACCACTGAGCCGGCATCCAACGGTGTTAAAGTCTAACTTTAACCAATCCACGAAGTTGCGCCACCATATACCATTGTCTCCAGTGAGCTGATATCTCACAACAGACCTGGTTGTACTCCACTGGTAACAGCTTCCCACTAGAACTCCAGGAGTATCTCTTGAAGTCAGTCACTAGTGAGCAGATGATTATTATCAGAAGGGGTTTGTGGAGATTTTTAGAAATTTTCACAGATTGAAATCATGAGTCAGTTGAAGCTAGACCACAATTGAATGGTGGTCTGATAATTTGTATTTATTAAAATGGAGAACATTAATTTTAAGATTAAAAGAGTATTGATTACGGTAATCAATATTGTTCAAATTACTGATATTAGAAAATGTGATTGTTAAAATTTTCATTTATAATTCAAAGACAATTTGTCCAATATATGGGCTTATATTACTGGAAGATTTAAGGGAGTAGAAATAATAAAAAAATATCAGATAAAAACCCGAAAGTTTAAACCCTACACAAACACACCACCTGTAGCTCTTCTATGGTTACTGTTGATCGAAAGCTCGAGTGAGGGAGGATGGATGGGCATGAGGACAGTAACCCTATCTTGTAGAAAATAACCTTGCTAACTATTGCTAATTAATCTGTCCAGCTAGTCAGGAAAATTATAAATAGATCAAAAGACAGTCAACATTCAAAACATTAAGTGACTTCCTATATGAGAACCTTCGGTTAAAAGTGAAAAAGCTTGCCCTAATATCTAAGGAATTACTATTCCATCATATATACGAATGGAGTTTAGTTTACATTAATTTGCTCACCATGCATCAGTAGGCCTCAACATACACAAGTGAAAAGCAACATACTCAAATACAACACAGAGAACACCAGCTCAATCACACTTGATGAAGGAGCTCTGGATGAGGTACAATCTTCCACGTACCTATTGGGGCAGCATTATCGATGGACAAGGAGGATCTAATGCAGACGTAAAACCAAGGATTGGCAAAGCAAGAATAGCATTCCTACGGTTGAAGAACATATGGAACTCAAAACAATCAACATCAAAGTGAGAATCTTCAATACGGACGTCAAGACAGTTTTAATGTACGAAGCCGAAACTTGGAGAACTATCACAACTATCATCAAAAATGTATAAGTATTTATAAACAATTGTCTACACAATATACTCAATGTCCGTTAGTCGGATACCATCAGCAACATTCTACTGTGGGAGAGAACAAATCAGCTTCCATATGAAGAGGAAATTATGAAAAGATAACGAAGGTGTATAGGACATACATTGAGGAAACTATCAAACTGCATCACGAGACAAGCGCTAACTTGAAATCCTGAAGGGAAACGGAAAAGCGGAAGACCAAAGAACACATTGCGCCAGGAACTGGAAGCAGAAATGAAAAGGACAAACAGCAACTGGGAAGAATTGTCCAGAACAGAGTTCGATGGAAAATGCTGGTGGGTGGTCTAGGCTCATCCATGAGGGGTGACAGGCGTAAGGAAGTATTATGTAAGACAGCATGAAAACCATATCAAACTTGTGAAATATTTCATTATATTTATGTACATATATTATACGGTTGTCAGATGATTACAATAGACTTTAGTTTCGTCTTCAATAAAATCTATATCAAGAAATTGTGTTTATCAAAGAATATAGTGAAATTAAAACTATATGACCTTTTAAAAGGAATATAACCAATCACAACCTTCACAAATATGAACTAATGAAGAAATAGTTCTTCGATAGTTTTTCATAAATTTGATTATATCTCAGTAGATGTTAAATATATATATTAATACGTCTCATTAATTTGGGTATAGAAGTAAACCAAAAGGAAGAAAGAGAGAACAAACAACACATCACAAATTACCTAAGGTCACATGAAAGTAACAGTATATACAAAACACATTTCAAACCTCTCAACAAATTAATCAGTCAGAATAAAAACATACACCTTCATATTTCTTTTCTGGTTTCAATCCAGAAAACAAAATAAATCCCTAGCTGCTATGGTAACTGGTCACTTACAACCAATATATATATATTTTAAAATTGATGACAATGGATGGTAATTAGTATCATTCAAAATCCTACAGATTCTTTAAAAACTTATCATATATACTTCAAAACATGTTTTACAGAAAGTTAACATCATATACATGACAGTTGCAAGTGTTGTAATTAAATGGTTTAGAAACAAATCTCAAAATGACGAATAACTTGGTTTGCTTGAGGCTGAAAAGTAGCAAATTGTAGAATAAATTAAATCTGAATTGAAATATTTGAATGTATTGATGATCGTGTAAGGAAGCTAAATGGGATGTATTTGAAAATGATAGTTAATAGAACGCAACCTGTCGAGTGAATGGTATAATGCTCAACAGAAAAATTTAATGTGAGACTGTAAATGCACAAATTTTAGTACCTTTAAAATAGGAAGAAATAACGGTGAAAATACACTTTTATGACTAAGCAATCAGTTTTGATTGAGTTCATAAGATTTTTGAACGAAAACTGAAACGTAAAGATCGGTAGCCTGCATCTTATTGAAAGCTAATTAAGAAACAAGTAAAAATTACCAGTATATAGTTACTAAAAAGTTTAAAGTTGTCAAATACCAAGAGATTAAATAATAGGAGTCACATTTTCCGGAGTCCTGAAGATAATCTAAGGGTTCTTAACATTTAAAGTCAAAAAGTAAAGAGCATATTTATTCCTTTCCACACCTAAAGAGTGCTTCACCAATTTATTCATAAACTAGTTAAGAGTTAGTTTTACTTCTTCAAGGTTAGTTTAAAGTCACTGAAGGTTTAGAGCTAAATATGCTTTCACAAAAATAACTCTACAATGTTCCAACTGTATACAACTGTTCTCTGGGGGATATCGATTCGTGATAAAAACTGCCTACCCGAGTTAGGATAAATTCTTGGAATAGCACTGAATTATAATGTTACTCTTTTTTGGTGTGTGTATTCTTGGCAATGATCGCAAAAAGCCAGATTTTTTAAATCTTATTAATAGCATGATTTTGATTTATTTACTGGACTGTAATAGGATGAAGGATAATTCCGATTACAAATTGGATACTATAAGTATTCAAAGCTAAAATTCACGATTACTAATTGAGTAGCCAACATACCATTACATTGTACAGGATTTTAATAAAAGTAATTAGAAATTTAATTGACGATGAGAAGCAGAGGACGAATATGTCAACACCTAATTGTGCCTTTTTATCAAGCCGAGTCAAATGTCATTCGGTGTTTAACTTAGGTTTTGAAGTAAATTAATATAGACGAGGGTTATACTAATAGTAGACTAACAGTACATGTATTAGATCTCCACTCATCTAGTTATAATGAGTTTTGAAGCGTACATAGTCGCAAGCGCCTGATCATCAACTAGAATTAGTCTTTAACTGGGTTATTGTTGATAATGGTTTACAAACAGACTATTATACACTTGCCGGCTAATGGTCACATTCGTGTTAAGTTTTACATAGTGACAACCGTAAACAATAAAAGCCATTAATGTCGTCTAGTAAAATAGAGGCGCAAGTACTGACCACCTTTATGGTAGATAGTTAACTTTTGGAAAATTGATTATTTTTTGTCTCATGCCATCGAATTAATAGGTATTTGGAGTCGTGAATAAGACATTAGCAATTTGAGCACAATGTAATTTCTCATAAATACATATGTACGTATCTATGTTAGTTAGATCACTTTGATTACATCTAACTATAAGTTGGTCTCAAGCATTCTGGGGAAAAAGTTTTTAACGAGCTGTATAACAGAAATTAACTTAGAATTGATAAGTTTCAAGATGAAAAAAAGTGGAACACATGTTTAAAATAAATATGAACGTTTTTAGCTGAATATTTATTTCCTTTGAAAGAAGTAATTAGAAATAGTACAAATTTCCGAAGAATTTCCCAAAGTGAATAATAACTATTCTTCAACATATAAATGTTAACAGCAAACGCTTTAACTAAATATAATAATGAACCATCTTCACTTATATTATTACTACATTAACAGTGGAAGCACAGAAAGGCAGAAGGTATAGATTGCAATGTGAAATAAAAAGCAATGATGAACCAGTTGTGTACAGGACAAAGAATCAAGAGCATTGACACACGAATACATATACATAAGTACATGCATGTATACACACACGCCCACAGATCCTATTAGGTAACTGTTAAGCAGCAGCCAATTGTGTTGTAGATTGATCTGATGTTTGACTATTCCCTTCAGTTCCAATTAAAGCGGATGCATCATGACCACCACGTGCAATTTCACTTAAAGCAATCCAGGTTCCTTCTAAATTTTCCTTCCAAAGTGTAACCTAAATGATGATGATTGGAGAAGACAGAAAGAACACAATAATCATTTACTCATGCATTAACAAAAAAGCTCAACCATTATAAAAATATAAATGGAAATGAATTAATTCATTGGAAAAATAAATACGTTTATTCAATAGGGTGAAAAAGAAATAAAGGAATACAAATGATAATCTTAGTCTTCTTATTACATTATTGGAACTTGGTTTTGAAATATATATACAGAATTTCATTATGATTTATTATAATAATCAAGCGAAATCATGTACTATTAAATAAATGGTATTGAGAATAAAACATTTAACATGGAATTTTCACATCATAATTAACATTTAAATAGTTTTGATGTTTGACTAGAGGTGATAACTGACCTTAATCTTAGAAAAATACAAGCTGATAGACGAAATTGATTGTACTTTAAACACAATGATGATAACGATAATGATTAGAACTGTGAATAAAATAACGACAACTTTAGGAATAGGTAATAAATAATGCTTATATGGAGAATATGGCATTTTTATATTATCATTGGGAAGAATTCACAGAATCAGCAAACACAGACAAACGGTATAATTATAAGCTGAAACAGATTCAGATATGAATGCAAAGAGATATCTATAAATGTTTGTAATGACTACACTAAACAAAGATGTAAGTTATCCATAACATAATGTTGACATCTAGAAACTAAGAAAAGAACAATGTAGATGCAATGTGATTCAGTGAGTAGTACACTGTCTATTATCATTAAAAGAACTAATCATAATTATCTATGTATTTGGAAAAGAGAAGAAAACAACATTTCAATCTAATTCCCTGACAAGTGTAATTCAATACATTTTTTAAAATTTCATTTGTAATGCTCTGGATTGTCTTGCTATTGATATTTCGACTGAGATGTGGTCAGATTAAGATGATATATGTGAATCTTGTGTGGACTATCTAGTTACAGCCATTATGATATAGGTTTCGATGAAATATGGCTAGAAGTGGCGAAGTGGACAAAGCGCTGGAGCTTGAAACGGAAATTACTGAGTATGAATACCCTAATAAACATTTAGGCTGGGATACAGGTATATTCAGCTGACAAATCTCAATTAAGATGAGACGCGTGTCTTGGATTCCACTACTAGTTGCATTTCATCTATTCTATATAAGGAATTTTCATTATTTGATCATAACATCATTACTTGGTTAACCATTCACCTGTTTCTTTTCGGTTGCCTTATTCACACTGAAAACTTTTATTAGGGTTTTACCATCTGTTTTTTATTTCATTTCGTCTTTTTTTAACCAATTCCATACTTTCTTGAGTATAAATAGTGATAATTCAGTAATGTAAAATATAGGTGTGCTAAACGTAAAGTGGATGGTGCGAATGATTTCCTCTCTTCTATTCCAAACAATAATTGTGGCTTTTATGTTCGTTTTATCTGATAGTTTTTTTTCTAATAGCGTAACAATAGGCTTTAATCATAGAACAATATTATGCAATTCTATTGCATTCTAGACAATTGAATATTGAAAGTGTCTAGAGACTGAAAGTAGTTGGTTTTTGAGAATTACACAACAATAAAATAACAAATGAATTCATATTATTCTCAGTTAAAATTACTTTACATACGATGTTTAAATTAATCAAAAATATAATATTGAGTGGAATTTCTTTATTTGATTAGATTGCTTGGAAAAACTACATACGGTAAGGTGTGAGTTTAACAATTCACATCAGTAGTTTGTAAAGTTGAATGAAATCAAAAACACAAGTTCCAAATAATTACATATATCTGAATCAACACTCCTTATTAAATGGACTCACTGAATACAATTCATGTTTCAGTAACAGATAGCATTATCTCCTTTCCGTTTTAATTGAAATAGATGGCTGCAGTCAGTCGTCAAACATACGAAAACTGACACATTATGTGGATCGATTCACGTTGCCATACTAAATCAACATAGTGAGTAGTACAAGTAGCAACATTATCAATTGTAGTAATAGTAGTAGTACAGAAAGAAGTGATTGGAGATTAATCCTTTTACAAAGAATATAAGTATACAACTCTTTATGTATACGAAACGCTATTGAATATGACAAAAAACTTTTCTCAACTTTAAGGATATCCAAAACGTTAAAAAGTATTCATTTAGTATGACAATTTTGACTTTTTTTGGTCAGGCTACATTGTTTCAAGTATCTATGTTTGTATTTAAATAAGCTAGAAAATATTTATTGACATGGAAATATAGCGGTAATGTTACAGTTGCATAATTAATTACAATTATTGAAATACAACAATGTACTACTGCTATACCTACAAATATATAGGCATGTAACTGTTCATCATCACACATACAATTTTTCTATTAGGGTCACACTCAGGTCAAAAGTAATAACTATGTGCCTGTAATACAAATGTAAAACTATTCGTGATAGAACAATAACATGATAAAGTATAAAGAATAATATGATTCATCTTCGTATAATCACCAAATCATTCATTCATCTTTACATTGAAAAAAAAAAGAAAGAACAAGGTGAAATGAAAGGAATAAAATTAAAAATGTTGATGTTTCAGTTCATAGAATTTATGTTATATTTGACCCGATAAGACAGTTGTTATAACCTTGGTTTAAACTTGCAAAATAAAGGTCAAGGTCATATACATATACTAACCAAGTCGATTTGAAACAAATGAACAATATGAAAATATTCTGTGAAGATGATATCATCCGAAGATGAAATAGCAATGAATTAGGTTGGCTATTTTTCTTGAAAATAAAAAAAATTCTAAATTGAGGTGAATACATAATTACAAAATGTAAATAAGTACAGAGAAAGGCGAATGATTCTCTATCTCTGACACATACATACATGCATAACACACAAAGACAAATAACAATGCATAATGGCTAACTTTTGAGGTATATTGACTGGTACTTGAATAGGAGTAACATCAATTGTGAAAATAAGTGGGGTTATTGTAAATATTAACACTCAAAAGGAAGAGAACAACGGGTTTGAATGTAGAGACTTGAAATACACCCTTCAATACTTGAGAGAGAAAAATAATTAAATTTCGGTGACTTTTTTTACACCTTTAATTAATATGTAGATTAAATTGCATGTTGTTATGTTTGATACCATGACTTTAGATTAATCGAAAAAGCAAAATATAAAACTTCAGAGTATTAACAATATGTTTATTTTCTTCAATTTTATGTACTACGTTAAGTTGACTTAGCATCAACTCAAGAAGTTATTGATAATCGAACTAATTCTCATAGATGTAGGGACAGATTACCTGGTTGGGTTCCGTACGATTTTGGTAATAGATCTTTAGAGATGTTAAGTGATAAGGATCAGAATTGTCTGCAATGGCGTAAATACATTCACTTATTAGCCTCACCAAGACCTGAGTTTCAAGATTATTTCGTAATTTTTTTTAATCCAAGAAATCACTCCTTTTCAAACCAACTTTCTTCACGTTTTTAATATTCTCTACTACCACTGATGCTGTTACTATTTCTACGATCCTGGATTTTCTCTTAACAATTTCATCTCATAATAATGTAATATGGTAACCAATACACATATATGTCAGGTTCTATGTTGCATGCGCCTGACTAATTAACTTGATATAGGAGAAATTAAAAATCAACAAACTAATATGCTTATGATTAATCAGAGCAAGGAATACCACAGTTGGTAAGATTCCATTGACAAAGGATTTATACTAGTTAGCAATCATAAAATTACTTATATGTTGTGGTGTATGCTACTTATGTCTGTTGACATAAGTAACTTTCTTCTATTTAACCAGTCATTAATTAAATGAGGACAGAAAATGAGGAAGTTTTCATTATATCACACCTGGAAATTTTTTAGCAATAGCAGTTATTCCGTTCTGTCAACGTCCAGCCTAAAATCACAAACTGACTTTATCACAAAAATATGAGCTGTTGAATAGGAACTTATAAACTAAAATCTATGCACTTAATCTAATGACACCTAATAGCCTTAATGCATTAGTGAATGATTGATCAGGAAAATGTTATTCTCCAACAGCTTGTGATACAGAATTTATTTAAATGTTAATATGATGAAAAGAAGCATCTTATTTTAAGATACAAAAATAGTATTTTATTATTTTTGATCTCAGTTCAATTCGATGGTTTCAATCAATAATTCAGTTTCGTGAGTGGTTGATTATCATTGAGCTAAAATGGTTTCATTTATTGATCAAGATTTTATTCATTCATTTTAATCGTGAATTATTCATAAGATCATAAACCATAACAATAATCAACACATATTTTTTATCACTGGGTTATTTGAACGAAAATTAAAAAAAAAAATAAATATCTCCAATTGTCAAACACATAAGAATGAATTGCAAAGATAATATAAAAAACCTTGTTCAGAAAACAGATGATTGAGTGAAGTTAGGCATATACTACTTATGGACAGAAAAATAAAAATGGTATGCTCTACAGTTCAGCATGTGACATTGACATCCAAGAATACAAACAATTCGATCTCCATAAATTGAGTGTTTACAAAAGAGGATTTTCTCTGAAAGAGCATCACAGTGTCGTATTGTAACTAAATAGCAATGTGAACATTAATCCTAGTCGCAGTATGAAATGTATAAAATGAGTTTAACAAGTAAAATTATGAAGGAAAAAGAAAAAAAACAATACACCCAAATTAAGTAATTCGTAGGATACACTAAACAGGTTTACATACAAGTCATGAACAGAACTTTTCATTTTCGATAGTCTATGACTGACTCACTGACTAGTAAAAAACACAGTGCCCTAATAATGAAGACTAAGTATCTTGATTGATGGATAAAAAGTTTTCATATAGAATTCAAGCGGAGGAAACTAAGTAGTTGAAAAAAAAGTTGCCAGAAAATGAGTGTAAAATCATCAGCCGTATCATATGAAGGAAAGAGGACAAATGGGTGGCTAATAGAAGTATTCTAATTGAAATAACAGGTTATTATGTATATAATTATAGAACCTGAAGATAATTTATCGAAAAGAATATTCTTCGTTCAAATATTAGTCTTTTAACAGAACTGTGTCGACATGATCTAGCACCATATATTTCAGTAGCCCATTCACATGTGGCTAAATATATACTAACTGTACAAAAAAGTCGTAAACACAAATTCGTTATTATAGATTTTGTAACACCCAATACAAAATGGGGACAGAACCAATGTTAACAAATGTCAATTCGCATGTGGCAAAGTAGAAGATACAAGTGTTTATTAACAGTTGTCTAAGCAAAATACTTCGGATCCGTTGGCCAGACACTATTAGCAACAATCAACTGTGGGAAAGAAAAAACCAGATCCCAGCGGAGGAAGAAATCAGGAAGAAGCGCTGGAAGTGGATAGGACACACATTGAGGAAAGCACGCAACTGCGTCACAAGACAAGCCCTCACATGAAATCCTCAAGACCAAAGGAGGAGAGGAAGACCAAAGAACACATTACGCCGGGAAATGGAGATAGACATGAGAAAAATGAACAAGAATTGGATGGAACTAGAAAAGAAGGCCCAGGACAGAGTGGGTTGGAGAATGCTGGTCGGCGCCCTATGTTCCATTGGGAGTAACAGGCGTAAGTAAGTAAGTAAAATAGAACCTGAGACATATCGGTTCAAGTTACCACAGTACATTAGCATAACGAGATGAAATTGTCAAGGCGAATCCCAGGAATAATATTAGTACGAAAGTCAACAAAAAACATTAGGTGATAGACATTGTGATTCGAGAATTAAGAATGATTTCATGGAGTAGAAAAAAGGGAAACAAAAGTGAGTAAATGACATGAAACTAAACATTTTAATTATTATATTCATCCGAGGAACTTTATTTATTATAGACACCAATTAACTAACAATGATCATAATAACAATAAATAAATCATAATTTATTGTTGTTTTGACTTCATAAAAGATAAGTTGGCTACAGATAAATCAATCTTGAAATATCTGAAAAAAATCACTTTTGATTTGAGTGTACAGGATGAATTAATGAAAATAAAGGGATCATGCCAAAGTGGAAAGTGAAATAAGTCAAATCAATAATTGTATCAATTTTTGATAAGTCATGAGTCAGTCAACCAATCAGCGAGTCATAATCAACATAAAGCCTGACATGTGCATTCGCCCAAGTTGTCATAATACCACTGTAAGTATGAAGAGATGATGAGTTCAACAAGGGAAATAGATAAAAGGGTCAAAAAATATAGGAGGATCAGTGTTAGAAGGATCAAACAATATACTGAATGCAGACAGAAAATAAGGGATACGATCAATAAGTGATTCATTTTAATGAAATGGAAGTGAAAACATTCAACAAACAAGTTTAAAGCAACAATGCAAAAAAGGAGGACACGATTTCTGTTAGAAACCATTGAAACCCATATCTCCTTAGTGTGATATGTGTTTACTAGTTGAAAAATCAAGAAGCCAGGAAAACAGCCGATATCACATTGTTGCATAGACTTTATCATTTTCTTCATAAATATGACAATTTAATGATCATGATAAGCAAAGTTTATGTACATTAGATGAAAAGTGGCTGCCAGTGGAATGCACGATGCACGCTTCGTCTCATGCGGGTCTATTCAGCTGGATTACCTGGTGAAAATATCAACGAGATAAGCCAAACTATGAAGAAATGAGTCAAAGTCATTCCACAAGTGAGTGGCTATCTACAAGTGGATAGAACGTTGTTGTTTGAGGTAAAAGATATTGGGTTCCAGTTCCGGAATGGATACAAACGCTGGAACGCAGGTAGATTAAACTGACGAGTCCCAAATCGGACGAAACGCGCATCTTAGATTCCACTCTTAGCCACATTCCACTTCAACATAAAACTGTCATAATCGCTATATCGAGGGAATCCTCATAAGATATTAACTAAAATTGATCACATTTCGGTCAAAATAACAATAACAGTATAATTCAAACAATTAAAAATTCAATCATAATAAACATTTCTACAAAAAGAAAACTGATTCAATCTATAGTTTGAAAGTATACCTTATTATCTCCTCCAGATACCGCTAAAATATTCCCAGTTACAGACCACGAAACATTCCAGACAACATCGGGATATGTATACAAAATGGTTGGACGCCAAAATGTGGAATATTGTGTAGACTGGAAATCTTTTGATTCTACTAATTCATTAGAATTTGGGTTTTTATTATCATTATTATTATCATTTACTGCTGTCGATCGATTCATCATACGATTTTCATTATTATTATCATTATTAGCTGTCGATTGCCAAATTATTAATCTTCCATCTTGGCCACATGAAGCGATTAATTGTCGTGAAATATTCAAGCTTGGACACCAAGCAACATCACGTACCCAATCGGTATGACCATCTAGACGAGTTTCTTCGATCCATTCTGGATTTCCAGAAGAAACATCTTCACTATTAGTAAAAAAACGGAATGAAGAGCAACAATAAAATTTCACTTTAACTACGAAATGATAGAAAAAAGATCCCCAAAAGTTAGAATGAATTCATACTTATTCACTTTTGTATCATATGAGAATTAATACAGTACAACCTATGATTTGCAATTACAGTTTCCCAATATGAATACAAATATAACTCATGGTTTTATTAAAGAGAAATTAAAAAAAATATTCGGCGAAGAAAATTTTCTTTTCGACGATATCACAGACTCTAGCTGTGCAATCATATTTGTAATAAATTCACACATAAAGTAGTTTATTGAAAAATCGGAGGACAATTACACTACAAAATGTGTCAAAGAATATCGCTTAATAATAGAGAATTTGAAGAAAGATAATAAGATGAAACCAAATGCATGAAAGGTGATTGTCCATTTTACGAGTACGAGAAGGGTAAAGAATAAATTAAGAACATAAGTGTAAATAAAGAATAATTAGAATTAAAGAGATTAAAAACACTAGAAGTATGTATTAACAATCAAAGTAATGTTTATAAAGATGTAGCTACAAATAAATGTCTTTCACGTGCCCCCTTTGCATATAGAGTTCAAGTTTTAAAAAATGGATTTTTAACACCTCTTCAGTGTATATTTTACATTCGCCTTCCGAAAGCCATGCAGGACAATGTCCAGGGACGAGCTTGGAAAACGCTGACATTGTTCGTCCAATGTAACCTACTACACAAGAGTAAGCAAACTTATGAATACAGACTGATGTGGCCTAAAATGAGAGTTCATCTTTAACACTTATTAATTTACGTTAACTTCATGTAGAACAATGAATAGAGTCAAATCTCATTAGATGTTGTGATTAACTTATACTGGTTTGTTGAAATGAATTAATCGGTTCAATACAGTTTAAATTTCAAAGGTTTTATAGAACTAAGGAAGCCACACTAAATAATGCACTTTAAAATCATTGGAAGGTATCATAAATTAAGTCATTTTTTGTGTAATAAATAGCTGATAGAGTCCGTTATGTGTAAACAAGTTATGACCTGATACAAATGTGTATCAGTTGATATTGTCAGTCATAACATAAGTAAAGCATGTGAAAATTCATAACTTGTATTAGTGAAGGAGTCAAATGAATAAACTTGTCGATGATACTAAGAAGCAAATTTTAAGGAAACAAAGAACGAATACATTTATCTCACTAGAATTTATTTAGACTATCACAAATTACTATTACCACATAGGTTAAAATAGGAAAATTTGCATCACTACTCAAACTGACAGTTAATTACTTTATGAAATCTTGATTTGACTGTCTCTAGTTTTCTTTCTTCTAATCTACTGATACACCAATAAACATTGAATGTTTAGAGTAACCGATGTCTAGGCACCTATAACACATATCTCATTTAGTTTCTTATTCTTATCATTATTTTTTCGTTGGATATAAACATAAGTCCAATCTTAACAAATATATAATTTCAGATGGGTTTTGTGGATATTATAGTAATTTCAATGGTTTAGATCATGAGTCAGTTGAAGCTAGACCACCATGGAAAACCTGAAAGCACTGGACGGCCGTTTCGTCCTATTGCGGAACTCCTCAGCAGTGCGCGAGGTCGTTGATGCGCACTGCTGAGGAGTTCCGCAATAGGACGAAACGGCCGTCCAGTGCTTTCAGGTTTTCCATGGTGGTCTAGCTTCAACTGACTCATGATCTAAACCATTGAAATATATAATTCATTTGAACATTATACTATACTGTATATTCCACATATAATCAAACATATATTTTATTGATGTTAACAATTGGTCAGTAGAACTTTGTGAATAATTTTCTACAATATTTTCAATCGTGTTATATCTACATCAAAGTTTTAACTGATCATAATGAAAATAATAATAATAATAATTTCAAACAATCATTTACAAAATAATAACAATAACAGTGAATATTAAATATAAAATGTATTTAATTTCGATTGTAATAAATATTTATTAAATATAAAAAATAAATATTGAATATATAAACAACAGATGAAATAAATCAGTTGAATTATTATTAGGTTGTCGGGTTTTCTTTTCTTTCTCTCTCTCTCTCTCCTTATTAACTAATTCATTTTATATTTATTATAATTGAATAGAATAATAATAAATAGAAATGTATAATAAGGTTGTATTGTATTCCTGTAATTCTCTCACTATTTCTTATTTATTCATACATTTTGATTAGAAACATAGGATAAAATAGAATGAAAATATACAAGTTAGTGAACTAATAGTCATATTAAAGATGATGATGATGATATGAATACGTTCGACCTAGTTACAACACAATGTTTAAAAGTCAGTCAGAAAATTCCATTTCACTAGTAATAAAAATTATGGAAAGATTTTTTAATTTGTGTTTTAAATGTTAACCTAGACTTCGCATGCAGTGTTCATTTGAACAAAATTCAAGTATTGCATACACGTAATTAGTTTCTGTCTAAAAAGACAGTGAGCTTCTGAAGAGATTTCAAAGAACCACATATAAATTGATTCCTGAAATCCTAAAGCTATTGTATGATGCGAGACTGGATAAACTTAGTCTATTACCTCTGACGTGCAGAAAAAGTAGAGGTAGTTGGATTACGGTCTTCAATGTTCTCATTTTTTTGTCTTCCGGAACAAAGGACCTGTGAGTACATTTTAGAGACTTTAACACACCCAGAACCAATAACTTTTCCATAAAATTTTCAACAAATGGAACTCTTTACCTCAAGCAAGTGGTCGAAGCCCAATCTCACTACTCACTCAAAAAAAGCTTGATCAACTGACAGAACGCCATAGTCAGAACTGACACAGATCAATCAGCTCTTGCCTTTCCCAAACTGAAACTGATAATAATGACAAGAGTAAAGATACCATAGTTACGCACCATCGGATGCAAATGTAGTTGTTTTCATGAAGCCTAAAAAATAGGCTTAACCCCAAGCGGTTTCGAGAATGCACATTCATTGAAAGTTCCATACTACGATGAAGCAATCGTTCAGCTTTTTTCTGGTTCTCAATGGCTGTCTAGAGGGAAATCGGTTCACGATAAGCATTACAAAACTAATCAAACCCCATAAACTTCCCATATTAGCAGGAAATAAGTCAGTCATGCGCAACGTAGAACTCGGTACGTGTGTACAAAGGTCCAAGCAATCATATCCCATTAGCACAAAGAGGTGAATTTGTTATAGAGTATCTCAGGGTATTAGAGGGTGTAACAGCATCAGTGGCAATAAAAAAGACCGGACATCGAACATAAAATTCAAGAAAATACAAATTACTGACGAAGAAATTATGAGGAACTCAGAAGCTAATAGAAAGGCAATATTTTTGGTAGAAAGATCAGTATTTAAGGATTCAAAGACTAAATCGAACGTCCTTCCCACTGACTTAACGTATTATTGTTATAAGCATCATTAATAGATAATGTAGATAACGATTGAAGACTAAATGAAGATCGTTCCAACCCAACGAGTGTTTATAGTAGATATTCGTTAGATAATAAGCCATCTATGATCACTGATGAGACTACAAAATAAGACAGTGTGTATTCTGTCTACTTGATTTCCAAAAGCATTAATTTACTATTAGTAAACAAGGAGAATGATATATTCAAATCTTACTGAAATCAAGAGCCAACATACGTTCAACAAGCATTGAAAACAAGGGGGCACTGACCAACTGTATCGCTTTAGTATGGGAGCCCTTTGAAGTGAAAAATCTACGAACCCGAAACTGGAGATCGAACCCAGAACCTTTGGCATCGCACTCGAATGCTCAACCTCTAGACCATGAAGTCGGCATCGGATGTTGTACAATTTTGACCTTAAAATTCGTTCGAATGAAGTATGAGAGTGGAAATTGTTTTCAGATTATCCTTAATTGTCTCTAAAATATATACAACTGATACCAGTAGTGTCACATCCAGTGATTATCTTACTATGGAGTACAATAGAAGAAGGTTAAGGGCGAAAAGAACAATGTATAAGAAAATTTAAACGGTCTAATCACGAACCTTTGTTTCGTACGATTCTAATTTGGTTTTTGCACAACAATTGTAATAATGATGACCAATGTTTATATAACGCTAGATATTGACCATTTCATCATACTAAATGTCTTCTCTTTAATTCTACTCGAGTCACCTGTTCTTTACGAATTTACTACAATTATCCTTGTAAAATCCATTCACAATGTTTACACATGTGAAATGTAGCAACTAGGATGGATAAGGATTTCAAAAAGAACTTGTACAGAGTAATAATAATCGCAAAAAGCTATAAAGATTTAAAATTAATGTACAAATAGCGCTGTAAAAATCATGATTAGCAAAAACATAAGATTTTTAAAGAAAATCTATGCAAGAAAAGAACTATTTCAATAATATCAACCAAAATAATCAAAGCGTTATGTCAGTTTAAATTGTATTATTCAGCTTATGTCATATTTTCAGAACCATCAATAGTCTTGGAAAAGGTTTACAATAGTTCCAATGAAAAATTTAATCATTGTAGTGTAGTGTAGTCAATGTGGTGAACTTTTTTTTATCGAGCTGAACAAGTCACATAATTATCATCAACTTTATATGTACCCGTGATTATTAAAACAAAACTAACCAGATGTCTTAATTTTAGAACAAATTATTGCCTTTTACTAGAGTCAATGAACTAGAACTCGATTTCTACTGGGCATGAATTTCAAGGTAGTATGTTTGTTTTCTATTACAAAAAAGTTCTCTTTCTCTGTATATATATATATATATATATATATGGATACACTTACACAAGTAAATACTAGACAACTAAGCTGACACAAGGTCATCGTTACTTTCATGTGCATAGACAGGTATGGATACATAGAGAATGAATGTGATTATTATTATGGCTAATACTCATTGACGCAGTGAATGGTGTTCGTAGTGTTTATGTGATTATACAGGGTGGGCAGGCGAATAACGATAATA